ATAACACGTTTCAGGATTCAAATTTCCAGTCCAATACGGTTTAACACAACTATGCGCATTCCAGTTGCACATCTCTGCTTTTAGTAACTGTGTGGAAACTGCTAAAGAAATGAGTTTCAATCTTAGTCTTGCTAAGGGACTGCAAAGGACTAATTAACTAACTTGTTAATTTAAAAAAATGCATTTCAGTGCACACCTTGACAAAACGCAGTTTTGTATACTCCGAATGACGGATTCACGCCTATCTCATGGCGGAAACGATAATTCGTCGCTTCGGATGATACCAATTTGTCACTGGCAATATGAACCTGTCGTCGAAATGCTTTACAACTGCGTTGCGGTCGCGATGAGAGCGGGGCTCGATGGATAGCACGGGGCTTCTCCGAGCTGACTGCCCCCACCACATCGCCCCACGCCAGAAGACGCTCTCTTTCAGCCATTAGCATTTAGTCACATAGCGAATGACGCTCAGAGTCGAACCTTTTTTCCTTTCTGACTTTCTTGCTTGAACGCTCCGAGACCCTTAACAGTAGTATCTTCTTGTATCACAAAGAAAAGAAATTACGGCTGCACTGTGAAAAATATCTTTGTTAATTTACAACATTAGACGTAACTTTTCATTTACGAAATGCGTCGTAAATTTGTGACAGCTCATTATTGCTTGTCGTTCAAGTCCAAGTTGAAACAGAGTGCTTGTAAATCTACCATTGCTATAATTTTTATTTTACGACACAAATCATAGACGCAGCCGCAGTCCTTCCTTAGCGCCACAGCAGCACTGTTTTTATTTTTCCGCGATACAAAACAGAAATTAGGTTCGACCTTTCAAGCGAGCCACTTCGTCCACTCACTTGTATCAACAAGAATCGATTCGGGTCCTGGGCCCAAGCCCCAAGCGCGTCAATGGAAGAGAGCGGGCACGTGCTCAGAGCTGTGTTTGCACCGAAGCATTCGCTGACGGGTCCAACGAGAAGGTACGTGTCCACTGCAGCCGTACACTGCTGGTGCGGTTGCCCCTCTTCACGGGTCTAAAATATTGATTAACGTTTTACAACTAAGGTACTTCATCGTAAATGTGCAGCCACCCGTAAATTGTTACTTAATCGGATGTTAAGTTAATTTCTGCGATAAAGTTATTGGCTGAGCGATAGCGAAGCCTATTACTCCAGTGATGATCAAAAAGTTTCGTGTCTGTCTGTCTGTCTGTTTGTCTGTAAACACGATAACTCGAGAACGGGTTGAGCGAGGTACCTGAAATTTTTAGCGTAGCTTTGAAGCATAGAAAGCAAGCACTGTATTGATTTTGAGCCCTCTAGCTTGAAAATTGACCTGTCAAAAAAATCAAAAACAAAAACCCCAAAATATTACTTTTAATTTTTAATATTTTAACATCTTTCTTAGACGTAACTCGTCAAAGTAGAGCGCATAGGGCGAAAATTTTGTCCGTTTGGCTCTATCTCTAACCGTTTAGTCGCCAGAGGGTGATATCCACACGAAAATGACCTCAAACCATTTGAATGTTGTTTCTCAGATATTTGACAATCTCTGGTGGGGTAACTCGTCAAAATAAAATCCTGGGGGTAAAATTTGTATCTTTTGGAGCCAAAGGCCTATCTACGACTCTGCCTTTTTCCGACTCGGGTGTCAGCGCCGCAGGCCTAGGTAGATGTATGCCAGGCGCGTTGCAGCGTAACAGTGTTTCTTGAGAAGCCTGTTACGCGAGACGTGGTCTGGCGTACATCTACCTAGTATCAATGTAACTGCAGTTACATGTAATTTAGACTTGTCCAGACTGTTTGTTGGCAGAGCGATAGCAACGCCTATTACTCCATCTGGTCGAAAAAAAAATCCTGTCTGTCGGTACGTCCGTCAAGTCCACGCGATATCTCAAGAACGGGCTGAGATAGCGACCTGAAATTTTCAGGGTCGCTTTTTATCACTGGGCTATCGACCTGGAATTTTCAGGGTCGATTTTAAGCCCGGTCTTCTGCTTTGAAAAGCTATTATAGCGGGCTTATGCCATCGCCCCTGTGTCAGTCTGTCCGTTTGTCATTTCTCCAAGAAGGACGTGAGCTACAGGTCCGAATTTTTAAGGGTATGATTAATGTCACTTCTAGACAACGCAACGAAACGGTTGGTGCAAATCCTGGCAACCACCGCCGCCAGGGTGTGATAGAGGCATGAAAAGAATAGGAGCAGGAGAAAAAGTTCATTCTTTTTTTTTTTCAGATTTGGTTCTTTGATATAGCTTCCCAACGTGTTATTCGCAAAAGTAGAATTTTTTCTCCGTAGTGTACTTGTGTGGTTAAATCATCCAGTGAACTCCCTATTGAAATATTATTAACATAATAAAATTTTTTGAATTAGAATCATCTGCACTGTTAATAAATTTCATCATTTCACGATTATACTATATTCTGTCACGAATAGTTCGTGATTGAAATTAACGAGCATTATTCGTCAATTTCGATTACAAACTGTCCGAAGCGGTATAAAACAAACGAGGGGTACCTTACTCTTCAAAATGGTGTACAGCGATTTAAATCACATTTGATTGTAAATGATTGTAGGTGATTGTAAATGATTCAGGATGATTTAAATTATTGTAATGATTCTACATGATTGAAGTGATTGTGATGATTGTTGGTGAAAAAATCATGATTGTGTGTGATTTTTAGTGGTTCAAGAGAGATTCAAGAAAGATTTAAGTGATTTAAGAGTGATTGTGGTCAATTGACGTTGATTTAAAACGATTTATATAAGATTGTTGGACGCCGGATAGGAGATTCAGTCGTATAAATTCCAACTGAGGACAGAGATATTTGAGGTGTCGGATGATCCATGCTTCGATTGCGATGGTCTTAGAAGTGATTCGTGGTTATTGTAATGATTCAACGACGGATTGTGATGAGTCAATGAATGATTGTAGTTGATTGCTGCGATTTAATGCTGATTGTAGAAGGCTGTCCTTTTGATTCAACATTGATTTTAAGTGATTGTTACGATTTTAAGAGAAAAAGATTGTAATTGATTGTAGCGATTGTAAAAGATTGTTGTGATTCTTAGGGATTTAAGTTGCGATTGTTAGTGATTTAAATTAGATTTTTTTTCAAAGTGTACAGCGATTGTTCGAAGTGAGGTACCCCTAAACCATTTGTAACATCACGATTTGATAGTGTCAATTGATCAGGATGTTAAAGTGTTTGTTTCAAAAATTCTTGTGTCCAGGAGGTCCAGGATCGTTCCTATAGGGAAACCGAGTTACCGAGGGGAACCGAGTTAAAAACTATTCGTCATTTTACGAATGTATTCGTTTCTTTAAAATAACGAAAAGTTTGTGTAGAAAAATTGACAGAACATTTTCCCTCAAATTACTACATAATTTCAAACAGTGAAAGCATGCTTTCACAATTCGCTACTGGACGGAATTTTTTTAACGAACCCTTGCTTCTATGGGAGAGCGTGGCACAGGGGGGGGGGGGGGGGGTAGCGTCATGATCATGGTTCAACACCACCTGTTGCATTTCCGAGCCCGCTTCTGGTTTACAGTCGAACAATTAACGCCTTGCTCTCTGAGTAGTCAGCTCGGCTTCCACGCGCACCGCCCAGCGCCCACGCCAAAATCACACTGGTAAAACAAGTGTTTAATTTTGCACGTCAATTGACGTTTAAGTTCAAGTGTGCATTTTCTCGACACTTTGTGGTGTCTAACTTTGTTATACGTCAATTGGTGTTTAAAATGTCGACACTTCCGAAACGTATAGCAGCTGTACACCGTATGGTTCCCTATTGACAGCATACAACTGTGTGTGCCCAAGTGTGCAGAATTTAAACGTTTACAAAACGTCTAAAATTTGCACACCACGCAAGTGTGCAACTTGAGTTAAACACCATGTAATGTGCAAAATCACAACTTGCACACGTTGGTGTGCAAATATTGCACACTTGTTTTACCAGTGCAGTGTTCAATTTATAAAAGTGAAAATCCATAGGCTAATACAAAGATATCACGAAAAATTCGCATCAACAACATTCGAGACACCAAGGGCTCCAAAATTTTCTTAACCGTGTGTTCATTTCGCAGTGAACAAGAATTTTTAACTTTTTTTGTTGTATTTCACGTTTGGAGTCATTTATCAGAATATGCCTGCGAAAGGGTATAGTCTTGATCAAGTTCAGCATTCTAACTCGAAAATTGACCGGCTGAGTACTCACGTTTTTCGCGGGCACCTCCCAGCATGAGCCTCACTTTGGATGAGGTCCTTCGCAGCGCTAACCGCACGATGTCTCTTGTCCGCGCGATTTCCGACAGAAAAACGTCAACGAGTCGATTAACACCCGAGGAAATAAATAGAAAGAGTCGGGCGCACGCTGGGATCCGACATGCCACGACGCCGGCGTCCGGAGAGCCCCGAGATAGCAGAGCTCCGCGATGCTGAGAGTGCTAGCCCGCGAAAAGTCCCAGGCCACCAGGCTGGGCGGGGAGGGCAGATCGGACAGCCCCTCATCACCCTCCCTATCTTCTCGCGGGGCCGATGCGGAGGAATGGGGGCGCGGCGCAGCAGCGGCGGAGGGGCGAGGGTCGCCACCATGGCGCAAGGAGGGAATATCGTAGACTGATAGTAGTCAAATGGATGTGGAGCAGCACAATAATGTGTAACAGCGGCGCCAGCAGCCGCACGTCACGAGGCTCTCCCGTTGCGTAGAAAACTGTTTGTCGGTCGAGGCGGGGAGGTTTCGAAGTTCGAAACACGAATGGTAGTGGTGGCGGTGCGGCTGATATCCCGCACAGAGGGGCTGGACTCCGCCCCCCTGGTGTCGGCCCCCTCCGGGCCCGCCGGGAGCCCCCCACTTCCCAGCGCAAAGACCATCATTACGGCCCTGATGATCTCGCTCAGGATGGCGGTGGCGGTACGGCGTGCGCCCGCGGACCGCGCACTCCCCGCTCGCCTAGCCCGCCCGGCCCAGCTGCGGGTCGCGGTGCTGGTGGGGCGCCGTCAACGCCCCCCTGCACCTCCTCGGTGCCTCACCGGGGCCCCCTTTTCCCCCCGGTGACTCCGTGGGCCGCTTCGTGAACCACCACGCGATGAGGGAAGTCGGTGATGTGCGAGTACCCCAGTCGTCATCTCATTCTCAAAGCCGAAGCACACAGGAGTAGTGACCGTCAGCGAACGTCCGCCCAAGTGCTCCTCCAGTGCGCCGCTCCATTGCATAGCAGTAAGTAAGCAAGGTGGAGGAGCAGGCGAGGATACGCCCCCACCCCTCCCTCTGAAACAAAACATAAAAAAATACCCCTCTCCCCTAAAAATGTCAATAATATCAATACATTCTGGTAAAGCAAATATCCTGATTCTGAATTTTGCCATATTGGGTTGAATGTCAGTTTAAAGTGGAAAACACGTTGATCCATTTCGATTAACACGTTAATGGTCCCTTAATCTATTCCCACCAAATGATTAAACACACAAAAATATACTTTGATGCTAATATGTGCACTTTTGCAAACAAGCCTAAGCTAGATACAGTTTTGTGTGTCGTTAGTTACGTCCCATATAACTATAAGTGACTTCTCGTAACTGCATGAGTTAATTTTTGTAACTAGCATGGCTCCCAATCTATATTTTTAGCTGATTCCAGATGTGAACAGGTTCGTAACAATGAAGCTTGGTTATTTAGTGTAGAAATTAAAATGCGTAACTCTCTAATGCATAAATTACAAAAGAAAATTTAACACACAAAAATATATTCGTGAAAAAGCGCGAAGATGTAAAGTTATCAGAAACAAAAGAGAATCTGGATGTCAAATGCAATGTTTTTGTGGGATTTAGACAACCCCTGAGACTCAACGTCTGAATTCTGGTGAGGCCCGGCCAGGGGCAGTGAATCATTTATGCAGATGTCAGCAAATAATTTTCTTTTGAAAGGAGTGCACTCTAAACTCTAAAATGCCGGCCCTCTGTAAGGGACTACAAATTCTTGGCCTCTTCGCTTGCCAAAATTTGACTCTTGAAGCACGCACAAGTTTGCATTTTATTAGAGAAATACAAAATTTTGCAGGGAAAGAAGCCCCAAATTGGAAATCTCTAGAGAAAAAGGGCAGAAGTTTGGCCAAGGGGTGTGTTTCGGTTTATGCTTCGCGTGTAATTCTTGTATTTCTCTCGTTTTTTTATTTGAATTTGGGTGTATTTTGAAGCATGTCTATGTATTCTAAGTAACGTTTTGGTAAGTGTTTGTGTTTTTTGTATTTCTGTGTTCGCGAATTTTTTTGAGGTACCCCTCCCCCGCGAGTTTGGCATTCAGTAAGAAATGCAAAAATGTTGGCAAACAATGCGACCACGGCGTTTGCAGTGCACTTTTAAGCGTGCAATTCCTCAGTTGAACATTCCCTTCACAGTGAGCGATCAATCTAAGGAAGTGCTCAACAAAGGAAGGAGTTGCATACTTGCAAGTGCAGACCTACCGAATTCACTGTTAACGCCGTGGTCACCTAGCTTGCCAAAATGTTGGCAGCCAAATTTTGGTCCCCTTTTGAAAGAAGACCACTTTTTGGCAAGCAAGCAGGCCAAAAATTGTCAGCCTCCAAAAAGACAACCGAAATAATTTGGCAATCAAAAAGGACTGCCAACATTTTGGCAAGCTAGGCGACCACGGCGGTTACAGAGTTGAACACTTGCAAGTGTAAAACTACGGAGTCACATACTTGCAGGCGCTTACAAGTATTTAACTTGCCGTTGCGAACTTACAAGTAAGCAGTGCACACTTAGCTTATCGCCGTGTGGAGTTTTATTAGATCAAACGTGTTGATAAGTTAGTTTTGACCGATGCAATAAGATCCAGTACGCTGCTCCGTGGCATACTTGAGCGATGTTTTCCACCAATTTCGTATGCGACTAGAACAATGCACAGTCAGCCATTAGCCTGCAATTCGTTTGATTGGACACACTGTACACCGTAGCATCAAATACATCGGACTTTAAGACCCGAGAGTTTCACTAGTAGAGTGTTGGTTGTCGCGGGGCACCTCTATCGTCTTTTAGTGCTGACTATTTCCTGTCTTTGAGCGCTCAGTCTGCCCTTGAAGCGTATTTGCTAAGGAGACGCACATGCTTTTGCTGATGAGAGCTGCAGGAGGTCAGGAACCTGACGTGCACACACAGGAAGGTATTGGTTTCCACATGTGTGAGCATCTTCGCAACCGTTGTGAACACATGAATTCAGTTAAAAATAAAGACAAGGGATAGAAATTGAAATTCGCTTAAGGTCACCACCTAGACAGCACTAACTGTCCGCCCCAAAGTTCTACCAAAAGTGGAAACCCAAATAAGGTATTGGATATTTTCCGCCACTTATGAATAATTTCAAAGATCTATTAGCGGTAACATAAGAGTTATTTGATTCACAAATTTCGGCAACAACCAATATTTAAAGGGTACATTTACAAAAACGTTTGTAAATTTACATATGACATTTAAACCAGACCAGACGGTTCGTAATCATGCGAACCTGAAATCTAGAGTAGTTTCTTTAACAATTGCGGAGTTGCGGTGGAGGTTGTTGTGGCTGGAGTGAAAGGTAAAGCCCACATATGATTGAGTAGAGCCATCGTTAGCCGGGTGGCATTAGGCAGTACGCGGGTACGCCCTCGAGGCGGCGCGGTGTACAGTGCGGTGTACAGTGCGGTGCACAGTGCACACAGAGTGCAACGACTGCGCTGCATTCGGTGCAATAGTCATCATCGCCCTTGTGTGTTGCGTCACGTGCACTAGAGGGTGATTGAGGGTTGGTTCGTAGTGTGCGTGTAGTTCCAGGATGGTCGAGATATCAGAGAGAGAGGGGGGGGGGCTGAAGGGGGGGGAGTGAGTGGGTTAGTGAGGGGTCGAAGGAGGGGAGAGGGGTAGAATTGTGAGAGAAAGAAAGAGAGAGAGAGAGAGAGAGAGAGAGAGAGAGAGAGAGAGAGAGAGAGAGAGAGAGAAAGAAAGAGCACAGCCAGCGCACTGCCGTGTATGCAGACCGACGAGGTCAATTAGCCAGGCAAGGAGGCAGTTCACACACGTCCAAACTCTTCGAATTAATAAGTGCAAGCAGGGTATGGTCAGCCTCGATGAGTCATGCAAAGCTAGACAGGCGTCTGAGGGTTCCGCATCTTTTTACTGACGTGTCAATCTGCGCGTTTATCTTTGTCATTGATTGATTATTGATGGACTGTCGGGAACAGGCATGCAAAATGCAGAGGGGAAGAGAGTTGCATTATTCGGTCTTCAATTCCTGGTCTTAGCATCAAGTATTGTGTGATGGTGATAACATCGTGACTACCTCGTGCAGTGTCCTCCTTCATAGCTTTCTTAGCGACATGGAGAGCTACCCGGCAGCAGCAGAGCGGCGCTGCAAATGACGGCAGTTTAAGACAATGTAAGAGCGCCTGGCCGACACGCCGTGACGCTGCCGGTCCTCGACACGGCGGCAAATTGCATCCATTTTCACGGCTGTCGAACATTTTATGTGCACCAGGGCACCTGTAACAGCAACAGCATACTCTACTTTTTACCCATTTATTCCGTTTGCGAAATAAAATATTTCGCAAAATATTTGTGCCTTGGGGGAACAGCGGCGCCACGACGTAGCTGTAAAGAGGAGAGACGAGAAGGGGGGAGGGGTGCAGCCGCCGGCTTCGCAGGGAGGCGTCAGCTCGCGTGCCGCTCTGCTCCGTCCCGGCGGTGCCATTCCGACGTCCAGCGGCACCGCGCAGCACCCATAACCTCACAGATTGCCCCTCCGCCAGGACGGGGCCTATAAAACATCATGGCGAAGGGCCCTGCAGGCCGCTGCAGTGCTGAGTGCAGCAGTATGCAGCGAGGCGGTGCAGTTTGCAGCGCGCCGCCCCTGCTGCCGCCCTGGCGGAGGATCTGCCCCTGCCGAGGCGGGGCGCCCGCTCCACTTCTGTCTCCTTAACAACGAGCCACTGCTCCTCCCCCACACGCTGCAAAATGCTTCCTCACTTAATTCTACTCCGGGTATAGTTTTCGCATTTTAAATGGCGAACGAGAGTGGAATTGCACAATGGAGTAATTAGTTTGAAAGTCCTGCAAAGTGCAGTACTTGAAAATGCGTTACAAGCTGAAACTACAAGTGTGTATTGCGAACCGATTCTTCGCAACTATTTTGCAGTGCAGCCACCTACTCCTGCCCGCTTCATTCCCCCGTGACCCACAGACCCACAGCCTCCCCTTTTGCGGCGCTGCGGACGCCAAGGCGAATGCCCTGCAGCTGTGCACCCCGTGGTCGGAGACTTACACGCCAGCGCTGTCCCGCAGCCCCTGGTCCACTTACACACCGCAACGTCCTACCCACTTCTCTACTAAAAAGAATATTTGACATTTTAATACTCGAAAGACAACACATTCCGCTTTCTATTCGTGCTTATCATCTTTGGAGGACGAAAATATAATGGGAAGAAAGGTGCTAAAATCAGCTTTGTAAGAGGTGCTTAGAAGTATTTAAGAGTACTACTGCAACAGTAGTTTTACAAAGGCACTCAAGTGCACTAAAGGTGCACAATTTGGCAACTTTGGAGGATTTCAGCAGGACTTTTTAAATTGAGACATGACACGAAACCAACAGCGGTACTGATTAGCACATTTGTTCTTATAGAATATACCAAAACAACCTAGCGCCGTTGGACGTAACGTAAGAAGCGAGTACATGTATGGGGCACGCAATCTGCCGCGACTGAAATAAGCGACGCGACGCTGGGCGCTTGATTGGCAAGCTCCCTTGTGGTAAGTGTACCACACAGCGCGGCCGGACACTCAAGGGGGGGGGGGAGGTACGTGATAGCTTCGACGGAAACCCTTTGCGGTTGGGCGTCCAAGGACTGGCTGGCGTGCCGAGCCACAACAGCTCGCGAGAAAGAGAACGCTCTGCGGAATAATGCTCTTTCTATTCTGTTTTGCTATGCATAAAGAAAAGCATATTTTACACTTATTTTTGTGATTGTGATTGCACAAGTTATGAAAAAACGACTACTTTGTTAAGTGCATTGACAACACCGCGTAACGTTTTCGTTCAATGCATACTGTCAACAAAAACGAGTGAAGTGCAGAATTCGAACAGCTCAAATCAGCTGGCAAAGCTCGGGCACATTGAGGGACAAAAGAAGAGAAAAAAATCACCTCGTTTTGAATCAGTGACCGATTATCGGGGGGAGGCGGGGAGGCACA